GCAAAGTTTCTCATTTATCTCCTCAAATCAGGATAAAATGCACTTATTTTAAGAAAAAATGACTTATTTTGATTTACATTTTTTGCAGTGTGTATGGGAAAAATACACTTGACAAAAACTTCAAAACGTTTTTTTAAATTAATATTTTAGCAAAAATTTCACAGAATTAAGCGAAAAATGGGGTGAGTACTTAAAACAGGTTAAAATGGATCATTTTATTGTCTTGAAACAAGTAAAACTGTTTTCACAGTCTAAATGTTAACGCGACTCAGTCCGCAATATGTGCTATTTAAAAAAAAAAAAAAAAAACTGCTCAGAAATAGTTTAATTATCTAGTTAGGATGAAAAAAAAAGAATTTTCTTAAAACAAGTCAAATAATCTTAACAATATTCAGTCTTACTAAGAAAATACATTGAAAAACAAGAGTAATAAGACCAAAATGCTGAATTCAAGTTTATTACACCTGTATAGATTTTCCTTTTTTGCAGTGTACAAATGGAAAAGGAGTAAAGAAATACAAAAACATTTATAAACCATTTCATCAGTCATTTGATAGGTATAAAGTACCACTTATTTTATTGTTTAGGATCGTCCAAATTATAAAAGGAAAGTAGAAATGAAAACCTTTACCACATTTTTTTCTTATGTTGAATGTAAATAATCAAATTCCTCTGGCAAATTGACTTACCTGTGAAAATACACTTATTTCAAACCAAATTGACTAATTTATTTGTATTTTTTATGTTTACTTTGAAATCGCATATCAACAAATCCTAATATCTAAGTAACCAGTATCATAAGACTTTGAGTAATCTGTATGGGCACATGGGGACCATGTATTCTCAGGCGGCAGCACTTTTGTAAACAGGGATCCGCAAATCTGAAAAGCAAATAATGCCTAAGATGATTTAGACCAATTTTTAGACTGACGTAGATGGAGTTAACCCAAATTCTTGATCTTATAATCCAGCTGTGCAGCCTGCTGAGGGAAAAAGGGGGACACATGGCCAGGCAGATGATGACATCGCCACTGAGACTTTTATTTTTTTCCTTTTCGACAAACAGCACGTTTTGACGGATAAATAGTAGTGCAGCTTGTTGCTGAATTAAGTCAACAAATCCTCTTTTCTTTCTGATTAGACCAAATATGTTGATAATTAGAATTAGAAGCATTTTGGAAATGATGCATGTAGCTCCTGAACACAGCTGTTTTTTGCTGCATATTATCTTCAGAGTGAATGTTGAGTAGCATTATCTCTGCAAACATCTTTACCTTTTCTGTCTTTTTTCACAGTGTCCAAAATACATTACCCCACTCAATGAGCAAGAGAGGAAAAATAACACAGCAGGCAGTAATGACCAGAACAGGGCTCTGATGGCATGAAATCATGTAAATGGGATGCATCTTTTCTCTTGGCGATGTCAGTGGGATCCTGCTGCACAGACAAAAAGGCTGAGAAGCCTTTCAGATCTCACAGAGCTTCTTCTCATCCTCTATAAGTCTGACCTTCCAAGTGAGCATGCTGCATCATTGTGAGAAGTGGTGATTCTGGGCGGCGCAATAAGTGGAGGAGAGCACATCAGAGTGCAGGGTATCTGAAAGCAGCAGAGCACAGAGAGGCAGGCACATCCGCCGCTGGAGGGATCAAATCTGTACCATCTGACGCTCAAGGATTTATGGGTTTAGTCAAAATTGCTTTTCCCACTGTGGAGATTAAGCACAGTAGGATGTTTTCCTGTCAGCCCGTAGAATAGCCGGGTGTTGCTGCTGCTGTTTTGCTCCCTGTTATCGGCTCGGGCGCTGGAGAAGGCAATGTCTCAGGAGGGCAGAGTGCTCCAAACCCTGGTGGGAAGTGGATTCTGATTGACAGGAGTGGTCCCGTCCTCTGGGGAATGTGAACCATGCAGGTGGAAACGGTACTCATGCTTTTCTGTGTTTGGCTGGCGGGCACAGCTGCCAAGATGGTTCAACCAAGAGGTCACAAGCTGGAAACCTACAAACAAAGCAGGTAATGACCACCAAGAGGTTAATTTCTACAGAAAGAAACATTATTTTAGATGTGCTTATTGGAAAAAAAAACAAGCAAATCTTTAAGCTGAAAATCTACAGAGACTAAAAGTTGTAGTCCCATTCAGTTTGTATTTTTAGGTGTGCACAATGTTGCCCACTTTCCCTGCTTCACCTGAACCGCTCCCTCCCCTTCACAAGACAGAAGGTCGGACAGATGAGAGAGGGAGACCTAATTCCCTACATCTATTTATGTACGACGGGACAATGCTGTGTTCTCTTGCCCCACAGCTGCTGCAGGGCAGATAATGACTGTTTCTCTGCCGCCTGCAGTTGTAGCCAATGTCATTTCCAGGTGATTATTTAGGCTAATTGCAGCCTGGTTAATGTGTGCAATGGATTAAACCTTTTTACTGAGCTCTGAACTAGATCAGGGAGTCAATTTAACATCCGTTTTTTAGCAGTTTAATGACTGATCTGACCCACACATTGGAAGTAAAATCTAAAGAGAGATTTCTGAACTGAACTTTGGCTTTTAAGATGTAAAAGAAAATATGCATCGTTAATTTTTCATGAGTTTTCCTTAATTTTAAAAGGCAACAAGCAGTTTTTGAAAGGATAACCCAATTTATTATTATTCAGATTGTATCTAATTATTTATGCAATTTAAAAAAAATCTAAAATACAGGATAATTAATATAATGTGTTCAGATTTTCAGTAGAAAATAGACTCTTTTACTTTAAAACCTTCACATGTTTTTACCACAGTTGACTGTTTTCCTCCTCCAATCAACCACTTTTATAAAGCACCAATGTACGGTATTTGGATTTAACATTCAAATTAAAATTAAAAGTATTTGTAGGAGACAATAAAAGAGTGTGAGTTTCAAACCAGTCCTTTATCATATTTGTCATGATTTTTTTCTAGAATGGAATATTAATATTTATATATAAAGCTGATCTAGTTCAAGTGCAGTGCTTCGTTTTCTTAATTTCCCTCCCTGCTTTTTTTTTTTTTTTGTGTCATTTGTTAAAAAAAAACACATTTCATGTTTAGATGCAGGACTTTAAACTATTCTCCTAATTTTCAAAAGAAGACCTTTTGATAATTACATTGTCTTTTCTTTAAGCATCTTAAATTATTACAATTCCTTTTGAAATAGAATAAACCGACTTTTTTTAAGCCAAGAGCAAAACCTAAACTAAAAGTTTTATTTTAATTAGATTTTTTTTCTCTGATATTTACTCTGACGACTAAAGCAGGTGACACTAGTGTCTCAGGAAAAGGCTTTATTGATGCATAATTTGCTATTACAGTAAATGTTTGTTTCCCTTCTGGATTAATAAAGTCATTTTTATTTGAATTGAATTAAAATTTTTAATGAAGATGTGGAACAAAAAAAGTCACAGATGCTTAGTTGTAACATTATTGCACACGTGCCACACTGCAAAAAATTCAATTTTTTTTCTTAAAATAACTGCATTTTTTATTGGATTGAGGGGGTAAGTGAGACACTTTGCCAATGGAACAAGACAATTTATATTTAAAATAAGAAAAAACAATTGCATTGTCTTGTTTCAAGTGCATTTTTATCTTATTATCTTTTTTTAAGAGTAAAAATACTCATTCCATTAGCAAATCCTCTTATTTATCTACTCAAATTAAGGTTTAATTCACTTAATTTAAGATTTCTTCACTTATTTCTAGATTGTTTTTGCAGTGCATGCTTTATTGGCATAGAAAGATACTCACCTACTAATCAATAATGCTCCCACATCCCCCTTAATCACACCATTTGATTGACAGCCAAGCCCAGGATGTCACAGGTCTTTATAAAAGTTTGAAAACTCTGCCATAATGAACTGTGTGCCACAAATATACTGCAAGGAGAAATCCCTGAGAGCTTTACTTTATCTCACGCTACACTATGCAGGTGCTCAGTTTGTGCTGCAGAACATTTCCTCACCTAAACATGTCAACTGCTTAAATTGACTCCTACATCAGGGCCTTTAAAACTGCTTTCTTTATAAACCAGCTGATTATTTTCACAAGTTGAGAAAATCTTTTAAACAAGAACAGCAACATCATGATGAAAACTGAAAAAAAAACAAAGACAGGGATTATAAATACAGTACAATTCTTTATGTTTAGCTCCATGTGAAAGCATTTTAGATCCACCTGTGGCAACATAAGCAACATAGATATCAAGGCAGAAGCTTTTAAAAATATATCAAGGCCACTGCTGCTTTCTATGCATAGTGTTATGATGCTACTTGTCACAATACAATATCCCCTGGAGTTTTTCCCATCATTTTCTTAACTATATTTGGCAAAAATGCTTCTATATTTTCAGATATGTCTGAGCTCAAGTATTTGAAAGCACAAATTTGATGCTTAGGCTTTGGAAACATTTTGTGAATGATAAAAAAACCTTGAGCTGACAGTCGGAAACGACCATAAAATGTATTTTTCCCCTTGTCACTCTTGTGAATGTCAAACATATGATTAGTGTCAAGCTAACAACTTCTTACTCGATTCTCCTTTCACATTGAGAAGAGTGGCATATTTTTCTCTTGTAATTATTTCAGTTATTTTGTATATCAGAAAACTCACTTTTCAAGCATTATCCAGATTCTTTTATCTTATTATCAAAGAAAAGAGAAAGCCTACTCTGCAAAAAATAGAAATCTCAATAAGTTAGTTTTTTCTTAAAAGAAGTGCATTTTTCCTTGAATTGAGGAGGTAAGTGAGACACTTTGCCAATGGAACAAGAAGATTTCCTTTTAAAATAAGAAAAAACAATGTTATTGTCTTATTTCAAGTGCATATTATCTAACTATCTTATTTTAAGAGTAAAATTACTCATTCCATTGGCAGATCATCTTATTTACCTGCTCAAATTAAGGGTAAATACACTTAATTTAAGAATTTCTTACTTATTATTTTTGCAGTGTATCAACCCCACAGTTCATGAATTGAAGCTGATTGGGCTTCTTTAGAAGCAACAGCTCTCAAAATTGTCTTCAACAATTTAAGTATTAGGGTTTATTGATAAAAATACATCTAATATGACACAAAAACAAGAATAAAACCAATACATTTATCCAAACAACACATTTTTCAGTCCTTAATTGATTTAGCTAACATTTCCCCAATTACACTGCAAAAAATCTAAATCTAGATAAGTCATTTTTTCTTAAAATAAGTGCATTTGTTCTTGGATTGAAGAGGTAAAAGAGATATTTTGCCAGTGGAACAAGACAATTTACACTTAAAATAAGAAAACACAATTGCATTGTCTTATTTAAAGTGCATTTTATCTAATTATCTTATTTTAAGAGTAAAATTACTCATTCCATTGGAAAACTATCTCATAAAACTATCTCATACTACCTACTCAAATTAAGGGTAAATACACTTAATTTAACCCCTAGAACCCTACGGACCCACCGGCGGGTCCAGCTGCTACGTGACCTCGTAATTTTAACAAACCCCCAGTATTGATGTAAAAAACACATTTGGCACAGTTTGGTGACATTTTTGGATAAATGTGCCAAAATGGCCCCTCCGCCTAAGAAANTTTACTTTTGTGTGTTTTTGTCAGGCAGAAATGTATTTATACCCCCTTAGGGTGTAAGAGGTTAAGACATTTTTACTTATTTCTAGATAGTTTTTGCAGTGTACTCCTTAAGCTAAAACCACAATTTGCAGAAAAGCTACAATGGATCAAGTTAGTTACTTGCTGCAATCAATCCAACAACTTTTTGATTGCAAAATAGCTATAAATAGCTATCCACCACAAAACATGCCCCCATTGAAATCTGTATTTATGAACAAGAGGATGCATGGATTGATATACCATGGCACTAACGAGACAATTAATTCATAAAAATGGGTTTAAAAAAAGAGCTTTGATGGTAAAATAACAGTAAATGAACATATCTGTAGGGATATCGAAGAATAAAGGCAGACCTATGAAAGATGCCCTAAGCAACACTAAAGGATGTGCAGAAAAGTCCAACATCTTGCGTATAATAACAGCTGCATGAGTCTGGAACAAGGAATGGGGTCAAAAGACAGAAGCCTTTAGCATGCAGACCTGCATTACGTCTCCAGAATCCTCACAGCTGTTATTGGATAAAACGAAACTCAAGGTTATTTGAGAGCCCTTTTCAGAACGCATTATTACAACAAAAAAAGGTGTTCAATGAAACATAGTAGCATCATGGTTGGCAGTAGATTTTCTTATTGTTTGTTTATTATTTTGCACTAGAAAAACAATCTATAAATAAGTAAAAATGTCTTAAATTAAGTGTATTTACCCTTAATTTGAGTCAGTAAATGAGCTAGTTTGCCAATGGAATGAGTATATTTACTCTTAAAATAAGATAATTAGATGATATGCTCTTGAAATAAGACCATGCAATTGTGTTTTCTTATTTTAAGTGTAAATTTTCTTGTTCCGTTGGCAAAATGTCTCTTTTATCTCCTCAATCCGAGAACAAATGCAATCATTTTAAGAAAAGATGACTTATCTAGATTTCAATTTTTTCCAGTGTGACGAGTGAAATTATGAACATTTATCCATGAATTATAATTATACTTCTCAGTATTGCATGCATCTAATAATAATTAAAAAAAACAGCTTTTATTGAGAGATCAATAAAGCTTTTGTGAAACAGACTTGGCAAACATTGCCAACTAAAGGTATAAGATGCTGATAGACTCCATCCAAAGACTAAATGTTGAATCCAAAGGTGCATAAACATTAATTAGTTAACAGCATTTCATTTATTTAATGTATAGGTGAGTTAAATCTGACCTTAGACATGGAAAACACTTTTTAAACGACTTACATTAGTTAACTTTTTTATATCACAAAACCTGGATTTTTTTTTATCAAGCATTTGTAGATTTTCTCTAAGATTTTCCGATTGTATTTACATTATCACCTACATGAACAGCTCATTTTCTCAGCTGTGGACCTTTTGAATGTTGAA